TGGGGAGTATCTGTCACGGGTGGAATAGCAGGAGCTTTTAAACTCACGGGAGAATGTGCCAGCAGAGCAAACATCACACCCCTGACACACAAGTCCTGGTCCGACCCCAACCCTGATCCCATCCTTAACACCCTTCTCTCTATTTCAGTCTACTTAGCTGACACACACACACATTACCGCTGTTATGTCTCATTTGCTCACTCTTTCACACAGTCTCGCTGTCTCTCCATTCGCTGCCACGTCCTGTCCATCTGTGGCGCTCCCTCTTTCCTCACGTCTATCTGCAGCTCCCTGCGTATTCCCACATGGCTTTGTTAACACTGCTCTGTCACACACACCCGCCATGCTGCGTGCCGCCTCTGAGTGACAGATGCTGTTCTTTACAGTGCACGTCTCAAATTCCCACCTGCCAGAGAACTTTTTATTTTGGCTAATGACTCCTTACCGCGGTGTCAGATGCGAAGTTAAGTTATCGGAGACTCCTGATGTGCGCCCCATATGGGAATGTGCAGAACCATGCATGGCATCTCCATGGTGATAGTAATGCTGTCATTAGTGTGTCAGCTGCAATTGACCTTGTACACATGCAGACTCTGGCGCACACCCACACACATAAACACAGACACTTACTCCTCTCCTCCTGCTCCTTAACTGAACCTCTCTCTCTCATGTACGCGCACACCCACAACATCTCACTTTTCTGTTTCGGGTTTTCTTGCATTGGGAACATTCTGGCACCAGAACAGCCGCTTTTTTGAAACGGGAGTCGAAAAAAAAATACCACCCACTCGCAATTCCCTCCACCTCGCCCGACTGCTTTTAGACTCATGACGTGACTGACAGCACAATGGAGATGCCAGTCAGCCCATCACTCAGCTCATTAGGTTTGATTGCTGACATCGTATTTCTCACTCACTGTTCGTACTGGAGCCTTTTTGTTAGCATTGGGGCTTCCAGAGGATTAGCGATTTTAATCATTTGTTTAGATTTTCATCTCTCTCTGAGAAGGATTCTCTGTAATCAGCTGTTAAGTAGGAGTCAAAAAATAGCATTTGGTGTGGGAAAGTCATACCTCAGGTAAGATTATTAACATGCTGACAGGATTGCGGGAGCTGAAGAGCCTCATTAATCGCTGTAGGGTATGACTGAAATGCCGTCATTAGTTTCGTATAAAACTGGAAAGGCTCTTTTTATAGGCTGGCTTAATATGCAAGCCTTGCAGCAAAGGTTATCATCTCTCCTCTGAAAGACCATTGTCTTGTCCGCCGCTGACAGTGACTTCATTGGATGTGAAAGAAAATGGGCAAATCTTTATTGGCACCCTCTCCCTGGAGCGCGAAGCAGTGCCGAGCAAAGTGTCATTGGAGATGTGATGTATTTAAGTGTTTATCTGGTCTGGCAGAGTCCACAGGTGTCTCTGGTGTTGGTTTCCATGGGCGCCTCACAGCGAGATTTCTTTTATCACATCCTCGCACTTTCCCCCTGACAAAAACACAAGCGCACACACTCTCCGCCTAAAGGTGATATGAGATCATATGCCAACACGTGCACACACACAAACACACACACACACACACACACACACACACACACACAGACTCTAAAGGAGTTGCAGAAATGTTTGTGTTTGTAATTAGTTGCTGCAATCCAAGTGTTTACCGAGGACCATAAATGTAGTAGGATTTGAGTCGATGACACCCGCTCTGCAGGGATCTGTTGTGCGCCTCAGGTTACGCAGTACACACTGACATGCATAGTGGAAAAGAATGACAGGAATTCACTCTGAGGATTGTGCGCATATTGAAATGTAGTTTCAAGATTGTGAAAATGCCACTCGAGTAAGTAAGTGATAGAATTTAAAGCATGGTAATATGAGAGATTCCTCTGCAGAACAACAACATTAGTCATATGCATGCACTAACAACAACCCACATTTATATTTAGTATCAAATAAAGGGAAATGAACCGTGACTTGTGGTTTGGAGATGTAAGATTTTGCTGTATTTTTAAATATCTTGGTGTGTTTTAGGCCCTTGTGGGCAGTGCTGTAAATCAAAGAGCTGAACTGCATTCATTAAATATTTCATATAGGGGGAGTATCCGAAGTTCAAAGGCCACTTAATCTGCAAAGCATCTTAGTTTGGACTTGTTTCATTTAATTAAACACAACTTTTCTTGTAAATAAACCAACGTACTCACACATTCAGCAAGCAGGGGAAGTGTTTATTTTAAGAATTGGCTCAGAATATGCAGGGTGACTCATATCCCCAAGTTGTAGATCATACCATTTCATTCTCAACACAATGTTCTATTTCCAGTAACATATTAGAAGATACATATCTTACACAGTGTAGAACAGGCAACAGCTTATTTCCATCCAAAAAGAGCAGATTTCTCTACATCTTACTTGCACCAAGCTGAAGCCAAAGCTACATATTACCTGGCACAAGAGAGACTAAAGCCTGTACAGCAGCATAGCCCTTCCTAGTAAAAAAAACTATATTTGCTTTTATTCTAGTGCTGAAATAATAAGTAATAGCAAATGTAACCAATAACCCTTTCATACTCCACAAAGACCCAGTCTACATAGATACAGAAACATATTATCGTGGCGGATATGTCTCACACAAACTGAAAATGTAAAATTGACAACACAACCACAAAAGCCACACAGCAGAGACACAACCACACCTGAAGTGAGCGACAATGAGCAGCTACATTCTATAGTCCTTAAATCCATCGAAATCGAGATCCACTAATAATACCACTGTGTTTTGTGGAAATCTGTCCACTTTTTTCTCCTCTTTGGAGGTAATATAACAAACTACTAAGAGAATAATGAGAATAATACAAAAAATAAAAATTGTATAACCTTTATACATGAATTAATTAATGACTTTATCCACCTCTTCCTTTATTAGAAATAAGAAGGACTATTTAAAAAAAGGGCAAAGATTATTTAAAACGTATTACTTTCATACATGACACATGCCCTAGGCCTCTACCCATGATACCCTGTATTCAAATCATATCCTGTGGAAATTTCACATGCTTAAGTTTATACTGCTGCCACACTGAGGGTTACTTCACAACACTCTTGTGTGGCCACTCGTAAATATTTTTCTGCATGATCTAATGGATTTGTTTCCCAGCGTCTCCTTGTTCCTGAGGGTTTACAAGGAAGGCAAAAACTGTTTTTGCAGTAAATCACAAAACTGTCTAAACTTGGAAGCACAGTGGTGGTGACAGGTACTTGCTTGACATCTGAAGAGGATTGATAAAAATAAATTGTAGAGAACTGCGAATGCGAATATTCTCTGCCCCCAATTCTGACATTACTGAAGATAATGTCCTTTTATTTATTTATTTTTCTCTTCCTGTTTTTTCAAGGAGGAACTTTCTGGCTGCTCTTTTATTTCTCAGCTGAGGTGTGTGGGGCGCGGGAGATAAGAAAATATTACCTGGCACTAACTCTGCCATTGTTCCGATGAACTAGCACCTTGTTTCTCCCCGTCTTGAATATTTTTAGAGATAATTCCGGCTTATTCTGTTGGAAGGTGTGAAGTTATTAAAAAGGGGGTCACCGTGGAGAGGGAGAAAGGTTATTGCGGAGAGAGTGGGAGTTGCTCCATCGTGTGTTTGGACAGAGCAGGCTCTGTGCGAGAGAGAAATAAATGAAGGGGCAGATTGAGAGAGGGAGTAAAATGCATGAAGCAATAGAATGAAAAGGAGCAGAAGAGAAGACTTCAATGATGAAAGAAAGTGAACAATCGGATGGTCACAGCAGCTAAAGATACAGTGGGTCCAGTGCTCCCACCACAGGCGGCTGGGTGCATCGCTGCAATCAAAGCTTCGCCTTGACCCTTTCAACTTTCACACGCCACGCCCGAGTTTGAGCACGTGCGTTCTCATCACATCCTGCTAAAACGCTACTTGCATACACAGCCATTCAGTAGTACTATACGCTCGCGCTTTGAACGCTCACGCACACAGAGAAGCGCTGCATTTCAAGGCCATCGCTCCACTCTGAGTCAAAAGAAGCAGCGTGACAGACCCCAGCGTGCAGAATAAAGACTTATCATCCGCTGTCATTCTCTTCCTCGCAGACCAGGGGATTTTGCATGGGGCTTGCTGAACCTGGTTTTGAGGTTGTTATTTATTTATTTTGTCTGTTATCAAGGGCTCGGGAAGCGTAACATGCCTTTGGTGAGGAGGAGTACAATGCACTACAAACCCCCTCAGTGATGGATTTCACTACTCAGATCCTGCACCGCTTTGATTTATGATATAATATGGAGTGATACGCTGCTCATGCTACACAAAAGTGCCATACCCCATACTGATGTAATTCCAGCTGCACTGTTGCCTCTATCACAGCCTGCTGAAGCTACTTGAAAAAGGGGGGAACCCTCCAGTGCACTTCAAGGACAGTGTGATTGAATTAAGCAGCCATTAGATGTATGAGATGAGCTGTAATTGCAGGGGGTATTTATCTATTCAGATGAATGGGTTTTGACCACAAGGTCATGATACTGGTGCGCTGTCCTTAGGACAACTCGACTTGAGCTGTGCAACTGTTTGTGTCTGGCTCGGCCGTATTGTTATAACCTCTTGTTGTTGAACCTAGAGGCTTTGTGTAACAAATCTTGCTCCTCGCGGCGTTGGCACTGACGGTGTTTGTTACAGACCTGCTCAGCAGTGCTCATTTCTCTCCCTCTTGTCGCAGCCCTCGTTAATGACTGAGAATAGGAATTAGAGGCAACAAATGAGCTGCGGTGTGTTCATGTCAGTCAGGTGCAGCGGGAGCAGATGCTGCAAGCGTTTACACCTTCGCGTGAAAATGTTCTCTCCTCAGTTCACTCCCTGTCTCGCCCTTTCATTGTCCTTTCTCAGTCTTTAAAGCCCAGCCTTTGTTTCTGTTTCTCTTCTATTTCCATCGATGTAATGAATTTTCTTTTTTAGATATGACCTATACTCACTTTCTTTCTGTTTCCCTACAGGCCTGCCCCTGTTGTTCCCTCTGAGAGGAAGAGGAAGTGATGTCACGCCACCACCACCGCTTTGAGCGGGACTACCGGGGACCCTGGGAGCGGAGAGACATCCGTCCCACTGGCCTCCACAATGGAGGAGCCAATCATAGCTGTGCCTCCGCCGTCGTCAATGGCAACAACCGTCCGGGACTCCTTCCCCTCCCAGTGATTCCCTCCCTCCTCCCCATCCCAGCTACAGTTGCCGTGACAACATCCAGCAGCGACATCGCGGTCAAACGTGGCATCACGGCAGCAGGATCGGTGGCTCCAGCGTCGGCCAAGGTAAGAGCCTCGTCCAGATGAATGCCTGGACACCTGCTTCCTCTGACTTGTCTTGGGAACCTCTGAGTGCTTCCTCCTGCTCTGTCAAGTTTCTTTCAAGTCATTGTCTGTCCCTGTGTCAACTTTTTAAATTTGTGAAGACTCTGGCCGGATACACTTTCCAACTTTCTTCATGCTTTTGAAGCTTTCCAGCTTCCTTCTCTCTCGTGTGCTTCCAGTTCTCCAAACGGTTCTGCCCTGTCCAACTCCCTGGTATGCCTGTCTTCATGGTTCAACTGTCTCAGCTCTTCAAGCCCCTTCACCCTCCCTCACTCCCTCTATCTCTCTCTCTGTGCTGCCTCCTGCACCCTTCACCCTTATCCTCACTCCAGTTCTGCTACACTCTCCCCATCCAGTGCCCCATTCCTGGCAAACCCTTTTTGCTCCATCTTCATTTTCTCTCTGTGCCAAATGGCAGACTTGTCGGGCGTTTGCCTCCTTGGTAATTTCCTCTTTCATTATGTACGTGACCTCTGACAGAGGCTCAGGCGGGTGCTGCAGTCAGAACTGATGGTTAGAGGTGGTGCTTTTCCAAATAAGCAAACACACAAAGGTCCACAGGCATAGATAAACCCTGAGTTTATACGATAGCCCTTTTAAGAACATATTTCTCTTATGAATACATCAAACCTCTAATTCCTAATGAAGGGATCACTCAAAATTGAACTTTCACATGGTCATGAAGTAACCATCTAATGTTATATAACAAAATATGTAATACACAAACTTTTAATGAGGCCTCAAGTGACAGAAAAAGCCATCTTAGAGGTTAGCTTTTGTGTATATGTCCCTAATTTGGCCATTTCTCATTTATGCCTAGACCTTATACATAAAGCTGCAGCTTGAAAATGTCTGAGCGGTGTAGTGGAGAGCTGTACAGTGTGTGCCCATGTCTACCCACTCGTCCAGGGCTTTGCTTGCTATCTGGCTGTCAGCAGTGTGTGAAGAGAGGGGCCTTTTTCCAGAAAAAGAGTTGGACATTTCCAGCCTCTCCCTTGGCTCTGCCTCCATGGAGACCATTCATCTTCTCTCAACTCTCCTCCCCACTATCAGATTATTTACTTTAATTTGAAACTCAATGGATCCATCTTGGCATTTCTTTCTTTTCTTTTTTTCTTCTCCTTCTTCAGCACCTTCTTGGTCTCTCAGTGGGGCCCGCACTCCAAGAGCAGAGGTAAACAATGCTCTGGTAATTTAGCCTGTAAGTGTATCATTAGATGCTGTGCTGCATTCAGTGACCACAGACACAGTAAATCTGCTCTGGCACCACATCTGCCCTTCGCTTTTGTGCGGCTGAATAATTACATACATCCTGACAAAGTCTGACCAACTCCCACTGTGGCCATTGTCATCATTCAATGGCTGCCAGAGCAATTAGGTGCCTTGCCTTGCATGTGAGTGCACATTTGTTTAAAGGTGCACTATATGTGGGACCGTGTGTGTGCGTATGCAGCAGATATTATGCAGATCCGTCCCTAGATGCCACTCTGTGAGCCATATTCAGGGGATCTACCTCTCCGCTTTGTCTCGCCTGTGACAGTCCTTTGTATCGCAGGCAACAGAGACCAGTAAGATTAAAAAAGGGAAATTCCCGAAGTCTTGGCTCTGCTTTAATTATGGCATCGTGAAGATGCAGAGAACTCAAGTGCCAGCCAACACCACAGTAGCCTGTCTTTCCATCTCCTTCCAAGCTGTGTGCTGTCCTAGCTTGGTCCCTCTCTCTTTTGTCATCTTCGATCAAAGCTGCTGGGGGTCAAAAAGAGTCTGATGGACGGATGCAGCTCTCTCACTGTGGTCCCTCTGTCTCAGCTCTGTCCAGGGCTACACTAAGAAGCTGACAGGCTGTTATTGATCTCCACTGTTCCAATATTCTCTTCATAAAGAATATGTGGCCCTCGTGGGTACATTGTCCAATAGCTAGACATGTACAAATGTGTGGGTCTTCCTGTAACATAACATATAACACATTACAGTATAGTGAAACTATAAACATTAGTAAAATTGGGTGCAGAACAGTTGTGTTGTACTGGTGTTGTTGGTATGATGTTGTTGGTGTGTGTTTGTGGTATGCACATGTGAAAATAGGTGTACATATGTGTGGGTGTGTGTATAACAATTGCTGAGAGTTGTAGAGTACCATCTGGCCGTATTGTGAATCCTGATGTAAAGCTAACCACATGGAACAGTGGACTCGAGTTAATGTAGAGCTACACTTTGTACCCTGCCATCAATTTATTTTTATGAATTTTTGTGCTGTTGTCATGGATCCATAGTTGCAGTGCGCACTTAATCCACGTTAGTAATAACCACAACTATATCTGTATCCTGCGGATGAACAGGGCTCGTTCTTCCATGTGATACTCTGAGTTTTATTAGGTAATAATTAAATGTTCTTTCAATTTAAGTGATTGCTTAGCTGGTTTGGTTTGCAAGAAAAATGTACCCCACTTTTAATCTGGTTTTCCAGCTCACGTTAGGTCAGTATCTGCTGTGAATTAACCAAAATATCAACAGTGTGTGATTGTTGTGGTTTTTACCATCCTGGTGGTGTAAAGTTGTGTGTTCATTATGAGCAATAAGAAGTGTCTGACCCATAAACTGTATATAACTAGACAACATGACAGCTCCCCATAGTGAAGCTAAAGTGTCTTGATCTCCCTACAGTGGTTAACTGCAGTATGAGCCAAAAATCCTGCCTCCTCCATGTTACCGCCTCAGACATGGACCAAACTAAAAAGTCAAACACATCAAACGTTTTTTCTCAAAGATGATTTCTGTCGTTTAAGGTAGCTCTTATCACAATTATATATATATAAGTATTGCATTTTCCAGTAAGTTTAACATACTGCCTCATCTGAAGAACATGATTTGTGCCTGAGTCATGCAGGTAGATTTTTGTAGCCAATGGTGGGGAATACAACAATACCCATGATTCAATGCTGCTTCACAACATCATCAAACTATGTCTTTTTTTTCTTTTCTCTTTTTTCCCAAGTGGCTAAAGTTACATACTGTACATTTAATTAGTTATTTGCTATAAAAACAGGGTTAAATACCACAATAGACAGCCGAGACTGACACGCGATTGGTCAAGAGTATGTATCAGGGGGGACGTTGCTACTTGGCTCCATCCCCTGATTGCTACTGTGCAGACTTCTGGATAGCTGGAGGAAGTGGAGCTGCATCATTTATGGAGCCAAAATTAACACGGTTTTTTGTTTGTTTGTTTGTTTTGTTCCTGGCTATATAAAATCTACAAACCACACACCATTACACTCAGTGTTTTCTGCCTGCTCATTAAAATAGAAGCAATCTTTTATTTGACACCTTTTTAGTTGTGTCCATACACCTCCTGAGAAAGCTTTTGTGAAACGGCTATGCTCAGTTAGTTTTGCATACTAATGTTCCAGCCTGTTCATTAGTGTTTGTCAGGATTTTATAGGGTTTAAACATAGGCCAAAGCTGGAGTTTCTCTGTGCTAAAACATTGCTCAGAAAGTGTCTTCCTACAGATAGCCCACTGAAATGTGGATTTCCTTGCATGGTCCCTGATCCCTTCATATGAAAATGTTAATCCATCCTCCCCTGATATTTAATAGAAGCAGTGCTGGACTTTTTATATCTTTACCGAGGCCTATTGAACACAAAGGCAGGAGCCAATGGTTATATCGAAAGAATAAGTAGTTATTGATATGAAAAGTGCATCAAAATAATATTCTATCTTCCTATGTACTTTTTTACTGTTTACTCTGGAAACGCTGCACATTTTTCAAGTCAGCGGAATGAGCTATCTGTTTAGCCTGTGGGCATCTCATTAGACAAATGTTGTTGGAAACATACTGTTAGTAAATTGGCGTTCTTCGGGACCTGTGTGATTCTAGTCAGGTAGCTGCAGCGTTGGGATGCAATGAGGGGATCTTTAGAATTCAATATGATAGATTTTAAGTTTTTCTGCAGATTACCCTTTCACATTAAGTAGTTGACAGTTTTCTCGCTGAAAAATGAAAAAGCTAGTGGAACGCATTGATATGAGAATACATGAAGCTAGTCTGACTGTAAGAAGATTGTATCTTTCTCATGGGCAAGCCTAACTCGTTTCAGATTCTTATTTCAACCTTTTTTCACTGCACTGTCTCAAAAACAATCACATCGATGATGATCTTATAAGTCGCTTTACATTTACTTCACGCTAGAAATGTGTATTAAGGACTAAAGGAAGTGCAGTGTCGATTTGGACATGCGATACATTCAACAGTAATAAACTGAATCAAATAACAGGCAAACAGCACCTTGCAGTAAGGGGGTATGACTTGTGGACTGAGTTGGACATGTTCTCTTCCACCTCCTCAGATAAACTACAGCAGTGGAACTGGTGGCAATAATATCTAGTTCGCCAAAACATTTTGATAATCTAATTCACGGGCAATGATCTCTGTCATGGCAGCAACATTTATAGAATCACTTCCTCTTTAGCAAAGTGCAGCGTTTGTTGTATTGCTTCAACACTGATATCGAGCAGAATTACAGAGGTTTTATTTTGAAAAGTTGTGAACTTGGGTCTGAAGGTTGTGTCTGTGATTGAGCTTAACAGACCTCAAATAGAGGTTTATAACGTGCACTGCACTAGTTTCTTTAATTTTACTTTACAAGCATTGTGTCATGTGTCTCATAAGCCAACAGCTTGATAAACAATGAAGATGGATAAACTTAATTTTTTTTATTCATCTATATTTCTTAATCTTTAAAATCCATCCTCTGTTGCTGCTGCTACTGCTGCTGCTGCTGCTGCTGCTGCTGCTGCTGCTGCTGCTGCTGCTGCTGCTGCTGCTTGATCTTCATCTGAAAATGATTCAGTGTAATACTTGCTGCTGGCAGTCCATTTAAATGGTTTTCCTCAGAGACACAGAATCGTTCTGTTCTGCTGAGCACGTCTCCATGAAAAAAGCACTGCACATCCATTCC